CAGAAGTTAGATAAATGGAGATTATCTAACTCGATGATGATAACCTTATGCTTAGTAGTAATACTAGTAAGCATAACGTTTTATGTCAAAAGAGATAAATTGGCTTTACTAAAGTTAATGACATTAGATGGGCTATGTAAAACTAGAACAAAAACAGACAATAATGAAATGTCTGAATATTCAGAAGCTACTGAAATAGTAGAACTGAATGAGTAGGCCCCATCTAATTAGAATGTAGCTTGATTATTTAGTTGATTACAAAATTATCTAGATATAACCAATTGGCGAGGTTAGTTGATTTCTAAAAATGATATTAGTCAAAATTATAAGCAAAATTATTAGGCATAGAAAGTTAGGAGACTATAAAAATAAACAATAACCATGAATGATAAAATTTTGGAAAGGACGGAAACAATGGACAGTAACCAGAAGTAAGAGACAAACGACGCTTATAACCAGTAGACGAAAACAGACAGTTAGACAGTACCACGAATCCAGGAATAAAACTGAACGTGAGGACCGAGACTTCTATTAAGAGTGTGTTAGTGAAGTGAAATGTTGTGAATAAAGTGATTGAAGTGATTTGGCTAACAAGTGCGAATGAGAAGCCAGATGTATTAGCAGGACGAGTGTGTGACTATGATGAACAAAAGAACGAGTGAAGTGACTATATAAGCCCTCACAGGGACAATTAATAACATTGTGCTTATAAATAATCATAGGAAACAAGTACAAAGAGCAGCCATCGTAGAGGTGGAAGGATTCCGGGTCAACGGATTATATCTCATAAAAGAGTTAGCGGTGAAGGACTGTCGATCCGGGTGGACAGATGTGTACTGCTTCAGGCCCCCATACTCTGAAGATCATTTAAGTGACGTGGATAAACGGCAAGTCCTGTGGTGTACTGTCTATCTTCGTGGACTCCATTGGGATGATGGCAATCATTCTTTGCTGGATTTCCTTCGGATTCACCAGGAGATACGACGGGATTATACCAAGATCTACACCAAGGGTAGGGAGAAGGCCCAGTTATTACAGCATCATTTAGAACTGCCGTGCCTAGACCTGGAGGAGTATGGATGTCCCCCATACCAGCGCCTGGAGTGCAGTAGTCAAGTTACTTGTAACTACCACCTTTACCCGCACGAACATTGTGCGTACTGGAAGGTGTGCTCACTATACGAATGGGTGACCACAAGCAGCCAGGATATATTCCGGAACTTTCGAAATGATTTCTAATAAGTGTTTATGTTTACAGCTTTCTATATATTTATCCACATATGCTTTACTAGATATAATCATTTATATAATATTGTATGTAATCGTATATATGAATTTATTATGAAATGTTTATATAATCATTTAGCAATAATCACATATATACATGGTGATGATGTAAGCGTTGGCTGATAAAGAGAGATGGAGATGGTGAGTTGGATAATGAATTTTGTTATAAATAAAATTTTTCTAAGAAGGGAGGGATGAAGCAACTGGAAATTTTCGAGGAAATTTCATCAATTGCTTCAATAGTTATGAATATTTAAAAGTACTTTAGAAATACTTAGAATAAAAACTTTAAGAGTTTCAATACGAGCGAACAAGTTAAGATAGATATGAAAAGAAAAGGGAGGCAACAAGGAGACGCCTGTGTTACGAAATAAGCCTTAAGAAATTAATAAACAAGAACTAGGTTAGACATTCAGAAGTAAATAGCACAACACGTGCACAAGCCTGAGAGGCGAGCCTGGGAAATCAGTGACCAACGGTCAATAGCAGAGTTAGTAACAGCTATTGCATCATAACCAGGAAGTGAACACCAATACATGTGACAGTTTGATGAAGTGTTGGCCTCGCTTTCTTAGCACTATAGAAGCTACAGAAAAGTTTATATTTAGTGAATCATCTCAGTGCTTTGGAGCAATATTAGTTACAATACATGGGTGTAACAGCACAAGTGAATAGGCGGCCGGCTAACACCATTTATCTATGACCAATAACTTGAGAGTTTTGGTTTAGGTTCTGGATAAGCCTGGGAATTGCCCTAAAGCATCCAATAGGAGCACAGGACTACTTGTGAGTGATGCTGTGTCCTATTTGGTAGGGTTGCACTAACACAAGGAATGAGAGTTTAATAACCCATGTCAGAGACTGAAAAATCAGTTCTCCGGACAGCAAAGAAGCTCTCCACCAGTTTCCCAGCAGTTCTCTCTAAGAAGAAAAATGAAGCTGAAATTCTCCAATGTGGCTACAGCCTCCAAAATTCCAACTCTACAGTAAGTATATTCTCTCTCTCTTAATCAGCTAGTGCAAGAAACATTAAAGTTTTTACCAGTAATGTTTTTGATGATTTGTATGTTAATAGTTTAACAACAAGCAACTGATTTTATTAAATATTATTTTGAGTATTTACTGTTGGTCTGAGACTCCTATTCTTTAGTCTAACTGTAAACTCCTCGAGTTAGTGACTTGTGGCTCCACTTGTCACGACAAATCCTCCAGTAAATCCTCCAATAATTAAGTTCACCTGAGTGCTAACCTTTACATGTTAAGAATAAAAATACTTCTTTTCATTTTACAATTTTCATATTTCATTTGCAATATCTAGAAATTCATAAATATTTATCCAAAGGTTTTTGTGGTAAATCTTTGTATCTTATTTTCTTTACTGTAACAATAAATGTAATGAAATCATCTACGTGTAGTGGAAAACAAATTTAAAAATATGAAATAAAATCAATAATACTACTATCATTTTTCTAGAATGGTTGCAGATTGTAAAAGACAATTAAGATTATCTATTGTAACAGCCTCAGCTGTATAACTTTTTCATATCTGCTTGCTTATAGTTTTATTATTTTACAATGCCCTTTAGACCCTATTTAAGTACACAACAGGCAATTAACCATTATGAGAGAACTTTGTATAAACAATCGATAAGTTAACAGTCAAATGATTCAGTTAACTTGAGCTGTTTTGGGGAAATGTTTTATTTAGTTTTTTTGTTTACATTTTATTTTTTAATGTATTAAGTTGCTAATTTTTACATTTTACTTACTTTTAAGAAATATATAAGAATAATTGAAAAGTATACATAAAAAAACAAGAAATTTTGGACTCTTATTAAAGTTGAAGCCTATTTCATTAATTTGTACTCAAAAGCATATTTTCTTAGCACTTGTTTTTTTTTTTCATGCTATGTTGGTTCTCCACAAAATAACGTTCCTTTCAAATATGTCTTTTAGAACACAAAAAATATGTCCCACAACTACTATAATTTAAGCTATAAATAGGTAAAAAATATTATTTTAGCTGATTGTAGCAGAAAAACACATTCTTAAAGAATGAAACTGAGGCTAAATATGTCCCTAATGGTGCCAAACCAAAATAACTATAAGAAATTATATAGAGATAAACTGCTCTTTTTATTGGTTATAAATAATCCAATAGTAATGTCAGAGAGAATTATTGATATTTTTTTGAAAAATGGGTGGGATGTGTCATGTTGACTTGACAAGAAGACTGTAGGTTCTAAATTTGTATTCTGTCTTGTCAATATCTATAATATACATGTGTTTTTAATTGTGTGGATACTCAGAAAATCATACAAGGAAAGAAAGAAAATCTAAAATGAGCAGTTTGGAGTAGAAATACATCATGTGACACAGAGAAGTGAAGTTTGAGAATTTATTTTAATACTTCATCTTGAAATTAAGATGTTAAAACTTATAGATAATATTAAAATATAGATTATAAACTAAGTTTTTGTTGCCAGGTTGATCCTGTACTAGTAATTAAAGCTATGTTTATTTATCAAAAGTGGTTTAACTAAATTTTGAATGTATCTCACATGACACAGAGACATGAAGTTTGAGAATTTAATTGTTCATTTTGAAATCAAGTTATTAAAACTCAGATAACATTAATATTTAAATTATAAACTAAGTTTTGATGCTGAGCTTATTGGCATACATTGATAATAATGTTGTTTAATTAAGTTTTGGATGTAACTCTGAAAAGGTTGTGACGTGTGCACTTTGATCCTGCAGTGTACATATGGTTATTGTTTGTTTGTTTGTAGTTAAGCACAAAACTACACAATTGGCTATCTGTGTTCTGCCCACCATGGGTATTGAAACCCTGTTTCTAGCGCTGTATTACTCTAATAAAATGAAAAAGTTAGATACGTGATAATTGGATAAAAAATACAACTCGGTCTCTAGCATTGTAAGTCCGCAGACATATCGCTGTGCCACTGGAGAGCTCATGTGGATATCTTATTTGATTTTAATTTACATAATGGAAATGGTTCTTAGAATTTGAACAATGAATTACTTGAAGCATTTACATGTTACATTTATTTTGAGTAAAATTTTTCTAAAGTATGCTTTAATCTTAATATATCAAAACTGTTATAGTTCATACAGCATTCTTGTTACTAGCAATGGATGATATAGCAACATGGATACACAGCTGTTTATAATTCATATGTTAAAGGCCTAAAGGTTCTTTAATTTTGCCTCAAATTCATGGTCAGCTTCTTGTGTTCTTGTATTGTAATGTTTATTAGCTATGAAAAACATTTTATCTTTTTTTAAACTGCATTTAAAATTAAATCAGGTTTTTAAAGTTAAAGATCTATACTTGAAAATACACTGAGGTACTTAATGTTAATGAAAATTAATCTTCTATCTGTAACATACAGTCATTATCTATGTGGCAAAGTTATGTGAAAAATGTTTCTACATTTTTCAAAATATGACTGTTGTGTTTTCAAATTTATTTTCAGGATCACTGACAGTATTATAGATGAGAAAACATAAAGATTTAAGAACGGCTTGTTCAATTATATTTTCAACAAACAAATGCTTGATTGTAAACAACACACCAAAAATGTATTAATTGAAACACAAAGTAACAAAGTGCTGCTAATTAAAATAGTATACCTACTGTTTGTGTCATATACTTCTAAACAGTAGTATATGAATACTTTTTCTTTCTAGATGGTGGATGCTAATCAATGCTGGGAAGTTCCAGAAGCTATTGATTGGATGAAGGAATTAGCAGAGTATAAACCATTGTGGATTGAAGAACCCACTAGCCCTGATGATATTCTTGGTCATGCTACTATTGCAAAGGTCAGCAAATTTTTACCTCAAATTTCTACAGATCCAAAGCTCAAAAGTAATGTTTAAAATTTTGATATAATGCTTGACCCTTAAATTGATGATTTAATTTACATACCATTCATTACCTGTAACACTTGACTCTCAACATACTGACTTATTTTAATATCATTTAGTAAAGAAGGGGTCCAACATATTGCATCTTTTTTAAGTATTTTTTTTTTACTGTTGCAACACTCATTGTAAATTGTGTAAAATATCTCATTTTCTGTATAAAATATATAGAAAATCCTAGCACTAATTAGTGGAATTAATTGCAATATTGACAGCATTTTTGTTTTAATTTTTTTTTTTGCATGGCTTGTGTGTATAGGAACTCTGTAACCATTCAAGTCATGGATCACAAACAATTTGTAGCAGAAATAATTTAGAAATGTGCATTTAAAAAGCCTGTTGGATTCATGTTGATCCCGTATTAGTAACTGAATCTTGGTGTTTATCAAAGTGGATTTTAAAAAGAGGGATTTTGTGTATTCAGTATTATTAATCAATAAAAACTAAATTATCTTTTAACTCCTTTGTGCATTGTGTTGTTAACTTTTCTTGTACTAATGATCAACAAAGCTGTCTTGGACGTTTGTTTGGAGGGTTTTTCAATATTTATTACAGATGCATACTAACAAGATATACCAAAAGGGACAACTTTATTCATATTTTATTTTGATGTGAATAATGTTTACTGTAATGTTTAAAGACCTCAATATCTTTCCATCGTTTGCTGATGCCTTATGCTCTCATATCCTACTATTTTTTATTCTACTTTGTTGGAACTTATAGTCATTCCGTGGTATTTATGGTTACTTAAGCTATACTGTAGTCACTCCCATGGTATTTATGGTTACTTAAGCTATACTGTAGTCACTCCCATGGTATTTATGGTTACTTAAGCTATACTGTAGTCACTCCCATGGTATTTATGGTTACTTAAGCTATACTGTAGTCACTCCCGTGGTATTTATGGTTACTTAAGCTATACTGTAGTCACTCCCATGGTATTTATGGTTAACTTAAGCTATACTGTAGTCACTCTCGTGGTATTTATGGTTACTTAAGCTATACTGTAGTCACTCCCGTGGTATTTATGGTTACTTAAGCTATACTGTAGTCACTCCCATGGTATTTGTGGTTACTTAAGCTATACTGTAGTCATTCCCGTGGTATTTATGGTTAATTAAGCTATACTGTAGTCATTCCCGTGGTATTTATAGTTACTTAAGCTATACTGTAGCCACTCTCGTGGTATTTATGGCTACTTAAGCTCTACTGTAGTCGTTCCCGTGGTATTTATGGTTACTTAAACTATACTGTAGTCACTCCCGTGGGATTTATGGTTACTTAAACTATACTGTAGTCATTCCTGTGGTATTTATGGTTACTTAAGCTATACTGTAGTCACTTCCAGTGGTATTTATGGTTACTTAAGCTATACTGTAGTCACTCCCGTGGTATTTATGGTTACTTAAGCAATACTGAGTCACTCCCGTGGTATTTATGGTTACTTAAGCTTTACTGTAGTCACTCCCGTGGTATTTATGGTTACTTAAGCTATACTGTAGTCACTCTCATGTTTATACAGAAGTTGATTACCTTATATTAAGATGATCTTGGAGCTCTATCGAGTCATTACAGTCAATCTCTGACTGATAGCTGTGCATCTTGACAATAGTCCACATTATAATTCCCATTCCAAAAGTCTCTGTTGTAAAGCTATCATGTTAAAAGCACAACACTGCTACCTACATGGTTTTCATAATGTATCTACTGTAGTAGGATGATGGTTTCCCAGCACCAGTTTCAACAGTCTGATTGCACAGAATTCCAGAACTTGACTGGTAAGTATTTATATTGAATAGCATAAACACCCATCTTATTCTCCAACTGTCTTAGATATATGTGAATTTTGAACCTACTTGTTGTGGAAGCAACTTGTGTACACATGAATTGTGTCACTTTTCCAGCAAGAGATTCTTCTTGATTTTGTTGCACACTGTTGCCTGGAGCACTGGGACAGCTTTTGCCTCTGAGATGCAGTTTGTTTTAGATGTCTTTTGTGATGGTCCCGATCCTCCAACTTGGTCCATATACTTTTGTTTTCCAATGCCATTAAGTATGAGTGATATCTCCATCATGGAAATAAATTCTAAATCCCCAACTTCAATACAACTTTGTGATCCGAGTGTATGACTATCTTGCATCTGGAAGTGATAAATTTTCAGTGGCGTCTTGCTATTTACATTAAACCAAACAATGTCAAAATATAGCTTTGATTCATACCATTTTATTGTGATTTTATATTAGCTTCACTTGTCACTTGACTTGCTGATTTGCATATTCAGTATCAAACATACTCACCCCTGGTAAGATCAAGAAATAGTAACTTTTCTGATATTCCCTGTTAGTAACTTAATGAATTTTTTTTATTTCAACTTAAGCATTATTTATTTAGCTTAAGCACTGTAACAAGCTGGTTTGATTTTGTTTTCTGTTAATTTAATAACTTACCTTTATAAATTTGAGATATGTATAATCTATCCATGTCCTGTGCGTCACACGTGATTCACAGGACATAATGCTAAAGCACCTGAGTATCATATGGTGATACACAATTATATTTATTTGACATGCAGCTGATGTTCATGAATGTGGTAATAGGAACTGGTTATATTTTTGGCAGGAATTGAATCCTCTTGGCATTGGAGTTGCCACTGGAGAACACTGTCATAACAGAGTAATGTTCAAACAATTTCTGAAAAGTGGAGGGATGCAGTTTTGTCAGATTGACTGTTGTCGGCTTGGAGGCGTGAATGAAGTACTCGCAGTGTACTTGATGGCTGCTAAACTTGGAAGTAAGAATTATGTAATACCTTGATTGTAAAATGAACTGATAAGCATGAAAGTATAACTGTATGATTTTAGTAATAAGACATCCATGTGTTTTATGATATAACCAAATGTTTTTTATATTTATCCTTAAGGTTATTCACAGAACTTAACCATGGGTCATTAGCCACACACACATTGTACAAAGAGTACCTAGCTGAGGAAGGCAACATTTAAGTGACAAACAAAATTATCAAACAGTGAACATCGTTAATATATTGATTATTTGTGTCTGGCTGATGAACATATTTTATTACACATGTGTATGCATGTTGGTGCTCTGTGAAATTCAGCTGTGTTTCTATGTTTCACCTGACAGGAAGTTTGACCACTAATTATGTGATTTCTGATTGGCATCATTTTGTGGAAATTTTTATCTACTTCTTGGCTTAAAATTTGTTTTGCCCCTGATATTCAGATGATAATTTTTATTGTTTAACATACTTCAGTTTATCTTTGTCTTTTAAGCATCTTTTGTTTTTACTTAAATAGTTTTAATACATATATCAAGCAAAAGTACCGTCCCAGTGATGGAGAAAGTTTAAGTTAATCTAGCAAAAGTACCCATCCCCAGTGATGGGGAAAAGTTTAAGTTAATCTAGCAAAAGTACCCATCCCCAGTGATGGGGGGAAGTGTAAGTTAATCTAGCAAAAGCACCCATCCCCAGTGATGTGGAAAGTTTAAGTTAATCTAGCAAAAGTACCCATCCCCAGTGACGGGGAAAGTTTAAGTTAATCTAGCAAATGTACCCATTCCCAGTGACAGGAAAAGCTTAAGTTAATTTAGCAGTTTAAGTTATTTCATGGACTTTAAAAAAGGTTAATTGTGTTGCACTCTTGGTTTCACTCAGAGCCAAAGCTCTGAGCTACTTCAACCACCCACCGTGAAAAGTAATTGTTGAGCATTTCAGTCATGCTAAGAGCTCCTCAAAGATAACGTAGGGTAAATCTACATCTTTATTTTTTAAGTTGCATCACATTTTGAAATGTGAATGATAGTGTGATTAATTCCTGACAATTTAGTGTAGAATATCCTACTTGTGAAATAAAATTTTTCATCAACATTATTCATGCCTGTTCTCCCATCATTTCAAAAGTGAATGCTGAGCTTTGCCTGTGTGCACAGTTTTTGAAATGGGAGACAGACAAATGCTTGGACAGACACCACTGTTCACAAAATATATGAAATTTAAAATTTTACGTTTACCTGCTTTTTAGTAATAATAGTAGCTATCAATACAAAGTATTGTTGTTGTTTTTTTTTGCTTTATCTTGAACTGTTTATGTTTTCTTTGTTTCAGCTTTGTTGCGTGTGGTATTTTGGTGAGCTTAAGTCTCAAGAAACCTTCTATGACCAGTTACTGGTAGATGTACTACTAAGAGATTTTAAAACACATGCAAATTGTTTTTTGCTTTCTGACGAAAAGCTTTCCAAAAGGAATGTTTTAAGGCAAACTTTCGACACAACTGTTCTCATAAAATATTTGATGTGTATTTAAGTACATGTATGTAGAGTTTGTGGATATGCATAAGTTATTGTTATTTGTAAATTTTAGATTGTAACACAGTGGTTCCCAAACTGTGGGGAAATTGAGTTTGGGTCCCAGAAAATTACCTGGATATTCAGGTGGGTCATGAGTTAGAAAGTTTGGGAACCCATATTATAACAGACAGTAAAAAGAACACTGTATAGATTGTTTGCTGTGTCACTTTTTTAACGTGTATAATTTTGCAGTGTGATATGTGCGAGTCTGTTGAACACCTTAGATTTAACATTTCTGTTCAACAGTTTCATTTTTTTTTCTGAAAGAATTGAGCTGTATGAATATATTAAATATTTTAAAATTGTTCAGAAGTATCCATAACATGGGACCCAATTTAAAATTGAATATGTTAAATATACTTTAATTAAATGATGAATTACTAAGCTTTGATAACTCAAAATGAACTCAATATTTTTATTGTTCACAATTCAGCATGAACAGTGTATTTTATCATAAGATGAAAACAGGTTTGAATATCACCATACACAGTATGTATCACCTCAATGGTGAGGTATATTAGTTCATGTTCATCTTAAGGGATTTTGTGGCAGTCTTTTAGACACCACTGACTGTTACATCTTCCTTTTATGTGATTGCTGTTCAGTTATGTTCATTTGCGTCTGGAAACTAGTACGTAATTATGGACAGTTTTGTACATTTAGTATTTGTGTGTTTCAGTTCCAGTTTGCCCCCATTCTGGAGGTGTGGGGTTGTGTGAACTTGTTCAACATGTAGCTACTTGGAATGCTATAGCAGTGAATCCTGGAGACACAGTAAGGTAAGTGATAAATAATCTGTTTCAATACAACAGTGATGTAGTCATGGGCCTGGGTGGGCAAGTGCCCATCCAATGTATGAGTGAGATATGATAAAATCTTTACCCACAAAGGAACAGAATTGCAAACAATTAGTGCACGAAATGAGTAATTCCTTCTGCCACAGAAGGTGACGGAGGTTATGTTTTCACCTGTGTGTCTTTGTGCTTGTTAGCAAGATTTCTCAAAAATGATTAAATGGATTTGGATAAAAGTTAGTATACGTTTGGACTATGATCCAACGTAGAAGTGATTAGGTTTTGGAGAGTCTAGGACAAGGTTACGAAAATCCAAAATAATTCCTATTTGTTAACATGGGGATCGATTTTTCACACTATTTTTGTTCTATAACTCAGTCAAAAATGATCGGATTTTGATGAAACTTGGTGGACATATGTAGAATATCATTCCTCAATGTTCTGCCAAAAATGGCCCGTGTTTGTTGATAACGATGCACATACGGACACATTTTCGTATTTCTTGAGGGCCGAATATGATCAACACTGTGTGGCAGAGTTATGCTCTCTATTGAGTGCCCTCTAGTTGCTTATAAAATACTGTTGTTTTGATGTAATTACACACAAAGTATTGTCAGAACATCATACATTTCTTTGACCACTCAGGCAGGTCATATCAAGGGACCATACCAAAGTACTGTCTAGAAAGTGAGCATGTCCTTGTGATTTCCAGGTAACTTTAAAAGCTTATCTACACCACTGCAGTACAAGGAATTAGATAAACATTTTTATTCAGTGCATTTATAATTATACTGTGTTTTATTTTACATTAAAAATACCTATAATTACAAATGTCAAAAATGCAGCAATTATTATTAGAATATGATTAGATATAGTAAATGACATGTATATATATGTTTTAACAATAAAAAGCTATTTTTAATCACTTGGGCAAAGGTATCCAGCCAGCAATGCCAGGCTTAAATATATAAATGTGTGTGTATGGGTTGTTCTTTTCAATAACACACGAACCATTAAATAACGTCACTTTTGTTTGGCATCAGCTTTAAATACTTTGCCACTGATCTCCTTACGCAGTATTAAGATAGTAAAACCAAAAGGAATGAAGAATTCAAAATGTTCCTTCAAGTACTCATTTACTTGGACTTATTAAACTTATGTTAAAGTTTTTCTTCATTACCCATTTAAGCTGTCTCTAACCATTATTATCTGTGGTATGGTCCTATTGAATTCATCTACCATGTTTCATCAAAATTGGTTCTGCCATTTCTTCATAATATACAGATGGACATATATTAGTGAGCACATTTAAAGTATTGATTATATCACTAATTGAATGAACCACTTTAATAAGTTGATTTTCATACTTTCCGCACAGAGCCTCATAATTTACAAGTGACATGTATTTATTTGCTACACATGTTTATAATCATTAGAAATAGCTCCTTTGACACTAATCCAACAATAGTAATTTTGAAATTGGTGCTCAGTTATCATCTTCGGGTAGATGTAACTGCCTATAGTATTTTTGGTTGCTTTGTCCATGATAGCACTTACGGTTGTTTCTTACCGAAATATGTTATGGTAAGAGAAACAGTTATATTGCATTTAGGTTCTACTTTTATATTTTAGTTAGTTATGTATTATTTATATTTTAAAATGCATAATTGAAAGTTTTAAACATTTTAAAAATTTATCTCAAACATTGCCCCAATTCTCAAGGCTTACGATCTTGCATGATTGTAAGATAATTTTGTCTAAGGCTTGCACATTTCTTCCGAAGATATTGTAATACACCTCGAGAGTACTGTTGACTTTTATCGAGATGAATAATAAAGTGTAAAGGACAGGAAAGGAAAATAATACATTAAAAACTGAGTATATGTGAAAAGACCAGAAATTACAAATATTACTGAAAGAAGATATTTTAAGATATTCTACAAAAAACTAAAAGGTATGTACATTTTTCTATTTCTCAGTTTTAAAAATTTCATTGCACTGTATGTTGATGATAATATCTACAGTTAATAGAGAAAATGAAAAAATATAAACATTTACTATAAAAAAAACTTTTGATATTCATTTAGGAAGTTCTAGAGATTATGCAAATAAACTCGATAATTGTAAGATGAAGAACAGTATTTTTATAATTAAAATGAAATCACCTTGAACTAAAGCTATTCAGGTCTGAGTGCAAATAATTACAATAAATAGATAACATATTTTTAGTAGAAAGACCTAAATTAAAATAATGCCATTCTTTGTGTACCAGATACTTGTAATCTTTAACAAAATCTTACCAGTTCTTGTGAGGATATCTTATTGTACATAATGTTGCACAATTGTCCTTTCCCAGTTGGGCTCCAGGAATTTGCATGATTCAGTAAAGGTGCTCTTTTTTTTTTTCCATTGTGCACTTGTCAATTTTTAGAGGATAAATGTCAAATAAAGGCTATTAATTTTGCTTTACTTGTGTCCAGTCTCTGGTCTTTCTCACAACTCGGTCAGATTGAGGGAACTCGGTTTAACTCTGCAATAAATGTTTTGCTTGAACCTACTGTTGTTAGTGATTTCTGCCAAATATTTTGAGAATAAATATTTATCTGGAAGAACCACATTGGTACTTTGCAATCCTTATTGTGATCTAATGTCACACAAATTACTGATTATACACCAGTGTAAGATATTTTATACCATAATAATTGAAGTTTGGAATAATATTTTGATATCCTCAAAGCTTCTTAATGAATAGAAACAAACTTAATCTATTAGAGTTTTTCAGAAATGAACTGTAGCACAAGTAAATGAAATGTTTAGAAACCACCATTTTCTATGATATGTGAAGTATCACAGACTTAAAGGGAAATATAGCAACACAGATTATACAAACAAAATTAAATAGTATAATGTAATAAAATTCTGATTAAAAACATTTGTATATTTTATAGGGATGCACGGGTAACCAACCACAGCCGGGTATTGGGCTACCCGGTAGTACTTGGCTCCTGCCAAGGGTCGTAGTTAGGCATCTTAGCCCTAATCTTTGTGGCAACTAATGCGGTACTGAAAGTTAGAGTAAATAATTGGTTTAGTTAAAAAAACACGTGTTCCGAGCAACAAAGACTGATTGCACACTGAAAGTCAGGTATTCAGAGAACAATAGAGGTTAATAACAGTAACAGGCATGGCTTAAGAAGTGGATTTCTGGGGAAGGTGGGGGTTTTGAGAACAATAGGGGTTAGGCATTGAAAGTTGAAAGTAAAACTTGAATGTTCTGTTGATGATTATTCGATTAAATGAATTAACAGTCAATTTTTGTGACCAGGTCCTTGGACTTGGTATTTGGTCAAATTTTATTACCCGTGCATCCCTAATATTTTATAAGCATTATTATTTAGTGTTCCAAAACATCTAGAACAGTAGATTTCATGTATTGCAAAGATCTTTTTATGTGCTGACAGGATATGAGTAGATCAGCTCTTGATTGAAAGCATTAAATCTCTTATTTATCAGACATTTATAGGTGTAAAGTTAAAATTAAATGGAAAGCAATTTTAGGTGATACTGTTGACAATAAACCTAATTAAGAATAACACTGAAAAGTACATTTAGATTATAAGACACTTAAAACAATTAACAAGCTGTTTTGAATAAAATTTAAGACACTCAGCAAATAACAGTACTTGCATGCAATATGGAAGAAACAAATGTGGTTTAAGGTAAAACTATTGATTGCCTTAGCCCACCACAGTTAGCATGAGTAATTTAGATATAATATATTAACACTTTAAAATGAAAACTCATTTAAATACAATGTACAAAAACTTTGATTGTCTCTTTGGTGTGTGTGTGTATATATATATTGCTGATATAGAATACAAAAGGAAATGAAAAATGTTTAAGTTACAGAACTTGTTAGCCATAATATATTTTTCACATCTAAATCTTGTTGATATTGCTAGAAAGCTTTGTTAAATTCTATTTTGTGGTTTTACTTGTTTCTTGATAACTTAACAACCAATAAAAAAAATACATTCAGAAATTTAAGGACTCCACCATTATGTTTTTGCATGGTGTTTGATAAGTTAGACCTGATATTTACATAAAAGATGACATTGTAAGAAAAGTCTTTAAACAGTTTTTAAAGAAACAAAGCAGAATAGTTGTTTTTATTCACTACAAAAATTTGGACATAAAACATCAAAACACTATGAAGTTTAATTTAGATTACTGTAGTATCATTTTAAGGCATATTTTAAAATTGGTCGAATAAAATAGTGATGTGTCAGTCAGTTGCACTCTATTTACCATGTGTTAGTACTTCCATTATAGGAATAAAATTCAGATGTAGTTGTTGAAACGATGCCCAAATTTTAAAAACAGAATTGTATTTGTTCTTACAAGATAATTTTGTTTCCATATTATAAGTGATAGAATTATGTGTACACTATAGAGATGCCGTTTTCTGTATTTACTTTTAAGAGTAGTTTTCTTTTACTCTTGCAGTGTAGTGGAGTATATTGATCATTTGCATGAACACTTTAAACACCCCATCTTGGTGATAGGAGGACGATACATGATACCCCAAGTAAGTCTGTTTATTCTCCACCGTGAGTGTTTGAAAACTGAAGTAAGTTGAAAGATACTCACATGTTATGTGAAGGGACGTTTTCAGACATTGAAAGTGTTACAAAAATTTATAGCTATACAGTGTGTAGATGTATGAAGTACAATCAATCATCAGATGTTTTGGAAAAGCTTAAAGGTATTTTTAAAATAGCATCCTTGAATTCAGTTCTAAACACGAGTAATTTACAATATGAATAAAAATTCAGGTCTTTAACCATTTCACAACTGCTTTCATTAATTTTTATTTTCTAAACAAAAAATTCTATTGGAAAATCAAACAACTTATTCTAGTGGTTTTGACACTACCTAGCAACATTATAACCCCCCCCCCCCAAAAAAAAATTAAAAAAAATTGCACAGGGAATAAACATTGCAGCCACAATGAAGAAGTTAATAATTTAGTTTTGCCAAGCTACCATCTTGATATCCACACTGCTGATGTGACTTGTCAGATATGAGTTGCTTCAGTGTCATCCATGTCTTTTTCTAGAACCAGAGCAGCCATAATGTTACAAAGTATTGGTAAATCTTTGTTACTTATGTAAACAAAAAATCTCCAACCTAGTTTAGTTGTTTAACGAGTAAAAAAAAATTGTTTCTCAATATTCTCCCTAACAAGACTTTTCATAGAAATTTCTCATTACATCAGGTTGGAAAGGTTCACAATAATCTTACTGTTACTTTGTTTGCAGCTTCTGTAAATTTGCCTACCACCCCATGCTCAAAAGTTTATGAATTTTTGTGGTGGGTTATTCAAAACGTTTTACCTAAAATGTTAGCATTATATGATGTCAACTACAGTTGAAAGGTTAAAGATAATATATGGTAAATGAGAGTAATTTAAAGAACAAATTACCACAGTGATATACTCAAATACAGCATAACATAGATAATGCTATTTAAGTTATAACACGGTGTCATCTGAATATTTCAATTACTTTTTCATACTTTTAATATTCATCTTTGCGAGATAGCAGTTTTTCAGTAAAAAGATTGTATGTAATTAAAATAGTTTTTTTGTTTTTGCTCTTGAATTAGAATGAAAGTAATCTTTTACATCAGTCATAATTTTCTGACTTTTTTTTTTTCCCCCCCCAGAGCCCAGGATATAGCAGTGAAATGAAAGAATCCTCACTCCTGGCCTACGAGTACCCAAGTGGGACCAAATGGAAAGAGTTGTTTCATTCTGGAAAGTACAGGAAATTTTCAGTACCACAGTGGGTGGAAAACAAGTGCTTTCCACAAAATTAAGAACAATAGTTCAAAAATCTGCTCAATTGTTACCCATGTTTCTGATGCTGAGGGATGGACGATTTATTTTGTATTTTTTGAATGTCAATTTTCACTTACAAATCTTGATGCTTTTTAAGGGACAGATTTTATTTTTTTTGTAAGAATATCATCTATTGTGAAGGAATATGAAGAATTCCAACTTGATTCTTAGAGTGAATAAAAATCATTGCTTGAAACTTCCATTCTTTCTAGACATTTATTCAAAAGTTTAACACCACTTTATTTGTAACTCAAACTTGTCATACTAATTGCATCAGTACAAGTGATTAAATAACCTAATGTTAACATGTATTTTGATAAAATCTTTTAAATTTAGAACATTTAACTAATTCCATTAACATTTTGTAATAGTCAAGAAGATAAGACAGCATTTAGGTTGTCAGAATTTTGACCATGACTCCATCACACAAGCTACTAAATATTAGTAGGGGTTTAATAATGGTTGGAGACAGCTTGAATGGGTAATGAAGAAAAACTTGAATATAACTCAAGTTATACTTGTACCTGATGATGACAAAACATTGTACATTTGCTGTTATGTTAAACTTATATTAAAGTTTTTCTTCATTACCCATTCAGGCCGTCATCAACCATTATTAGTCTCAAAGTGGGTTCCTCGTCATCGAATTAGTAGGGGTTTATTTAACATGGATAAGCGTGTAAGATTGAATTTTGTAACCAAGTTTTTTTTAACAAGTAATATTTTGTGTAAGACAGTTCTTTAAGTTAATTTTTACGTGTAGATATTCTAATTGAAATATTCCAGCTTCCTTACATTACAATAATATATACTAGACGAGACCCACAAAACATTTTGGTCAAATTAGTATCTTTACTGCAACAGCACTTGAAAAAACTTTTCAAGTCCACGTGGCATAGGCCTAACATTAGTTAAGCCTGTATTCGATAAAGTAACACTGTGACTTGTGTGTGTTTTTTGCTTTAGATTAGTTAGGGCTAAATTTTACCATACTTAATACTATCATTAAATAAACTTATGTTATTCTGTGACACGACATTAGACCTTTTTAAAAACTGTGATAAGCTTTTAACATGTTGTGCAAAATGTCTACTAAAGTTTATTTACATCTACTGAAATGAAGTGTGTGTGTGCATTTTCAGGACAGACAAAAACTGATTATCATTATAATAGATTACAAATTAATACTGATTAAAATGTGTGTCTGATAAATAATTCTCACTCACCAATTATCAGGTATTAAAAAAAGAAATTATTTTTCTGGTAATCGTTAGGAATACACAGAGCTTTAGAAAAAGTTCTATCGTGTATCATTTGTGAATGCTTAGAAATTTATTATTAAAAATACTCATATTTTACAAATAATACTTTGACATTTTTTGTCATTCAGTGATGCTTTAGAACTCTGTACAAGATAATTACACCTTAAACAATAATAGTTTTAGATTTCAACTAACAATTTCATAAGATATTTCAATACATTGATAAAGTTATACTGAAAAATAATTAAATTTTATATAAATACAACAACCACCTTATGCTCTAAAACTACATGTTTTTAGTTAGATAAAAGAACACTATAAAAATTGTAAAAATAAGCCAGTGTTTAAAAAAAACTTTCTTATTAAAAATATATATATAAATATATAGTTTCTTTACTATCATAATTCATTGTTTTAATAAAAACGGAAGCTTGGAGATTATATGGGAGTAATGTACATCAGTTGTGAAGATCAGGAAAGCCTTGGCCGTTTTCTTGAATATAACTTGACGAAATAATGTCAGCCTAATAAAACTGACAACCAGTTGAACATAAAAACCTACAGAAGTAATATTTTAATAACTTTGTAAGTCTTCTGAAACCCTATTAACATTGTAATTAAACAAGAATCAAAATCTCATTTTTCCAACTTGAAAACTACATAAAACTCAACCAGTGTATTTTGAAAAAGTTTTGTTTGCAGTAATTTTTTCTAAAATAAAACATTAGTTTTCTTTTATATTAGTACCTATGAACTTATTCCAGACTTCAGTAATACCTTTTTTAATCATCTTTTCAGACAAACAAATCAGTAGCACAGCTTTTATAGTGAGATAAAAGAATTAACTCAAACTATTACTTTTCAATTTCCATATCTGTAAATAAAAAATTTACATAATTTATACAGCTAATGGCTTTAGTAAGTTATTTAACCTTCAAACAGTGTAATTAGTAAAACTGTCATATGCTTACTATACAAAATGCAAAAGTTTTCTTATTTACAAATCTCCAGGTCCTGAAAGATGCTTTGTTTATTTCACCACAATAATATAAATCTGGAACCATCATTTTTGATCTATGGTGAGCTTTGAATGTTTAAAGTTTAATTTCTGAAAACTTTAAGTAATTTCATAAGACACTTGAATTCAATAGCAGTACATTTCAACTTGAAATAGAACATGTATCTTAAAGATAGCACTATACCCCATTAACGACATCTCTGTTCAGGCAAGAGGACAGTTACAGTGCATATCAAAATGTACGGACATTTTAAGTGTTGGACAGCAATTCTAGAACACTGAAAATTGGTTCCAAAACATACAATTTTTATGCATTAAAGAAACCTGGTTCTTTTATTTTTATCGGATGTACACGTCAATAAGAGCATGTCATTAGGGAGCCGGTATTTAAAAAACATTTTTAAACATCTTATTATTGTATGCTATGTGCTAAAATATAAAAAAAATAACATGCCTATTTTCAGTTTTTATCACAGCACAGAAGCTGTAAGACTTTTTCTTGTACATTTCAAAGACAATCCAGGTATCAAAAATATGCTGGAAACCTAAAAATTCAAACACTTATCACCTCAAGACTCGTATGCTATAAAACTTTGCAAGTTCAGTCAAGAGACTCTCTAACATATTGTTTTTCTATAAACATAAGAATACACATCACAAGAATTAATTTATGAACACTTAAACTTCAGTAACAAACTCATATCTCAAAACAAGATAATCTTTGATCCCATAAACATGTAAACAAATTCATGGCAATAACAAACATTTTTTTTCTTCATTTGTTTAATAAAATACTTTTAAAAAATTGTAACTGATTGTATGACAATTTAAGCAACAAAACAATAGTTAATACTGACTCTTAATAGAATGTTTCCATACATTCAATGTAAAAACACACTTCATTAAACAAGACACTTCATTTGAGATGTGCACATTTCAAAACTTAAATATTATTTTAAGTTTTCTAGTATGATACATATTATGATTCAAATGACAGTGATCAGTTAAATTTTTAACAGAGAGAAGGTGATTTTTTTAAAAATTCTTTCTTATATTAATTATACAGAAATTTACTCTTCCTATTGTTCATAACAGTGATTGTTGGTGTTACTCTACAAGTTTTAAACATTAGTGTAAGAAGCTAGTTTCACTAAGAATACAATAAAAGTTTGAATTCACTCGAATCACCACTAAACTGAATCCTTCCTTTGCACCTTAAACATTTTTCCCCCTTAATATTGTCTATAGAGTCTCACTAAAAGGATGGCTGTAAAAATGAAAACTGACAAAATCTGACATTAACTACCCTCCAAGAACAATAGACATCAGTTACCATAGCATTTGCAAATCATGATGGTGGATGGACTATTTACAGACTTCTAAGTGTTATATCAGATAAGAAAATTCTACCTACAATATTTCATCCAATCACATCACTTTATATTTCAGAGCTACTAATAATGGTTTTATAATATTCCCACTCATTTAAAACTCCTTTGAAGAACTTAGATAAATGTCAATTATTATTAACAGTTTTAATATACTAGCACAAGCAAGCTTGCTTTATTGGTTTGGATAACTTACAATTCAGACTGCACTGCTCAGAAGATAAAATATAGTACACAGTATACTGCTTTAACAGACAACCAAAAACATTAATTAAAACACACATCTACATTAATTATGACAGTATTAACATCTCAAAAAATTCAAGCAATAATTTATATAATATTTACATCTAAAAACTTATGAAAATCCTGTACATTTGCTTTTTTTTGGGTGGGCAAATGAAGTGAATAAATACACTTTTGAACCACATTCAGGAATGTCAAGAAATAATTGCCTTTTACTAGCGTTACAATTTAAACAAAGATGGACTTGTATATAATTATAGGCTGAACCAAAGTGAACTCCCTAGCAAAGAGATTAAAGATGCTAATTCTGTTGTATTTCATGTGACTTTTTATAGGGACTTAATGGTGAGGGATTTAGGGACTTCAGTCTTGCTGATACAAACATTTTGATTAAATAACTTCATTCAGATTTAGGTTTCAAAATAATACCAGTGAGTCTTTTTTGCTTGTCCCACACAGTTTCATAGTTAAGGTGGCGGAACTGTTTAATTATATTAATAAGTTCATTCACAACACTTCTTGGCCAAAAACATGTAAGTAGTTTTAATTCTTTCCTTAGACACAGTCCTTTTACCAGATTTTTTAAATTATTTTTCCACAAAAAGTTGTCCTGAGGATCCATGATAACAATATTATTACTAGAATTATTTTGTAACTGACATATGGCCAAATTTATCCAGAAGAAGCTCATTTCAGTCAAACAAGGAAAACAAGACACAATTTCAAACAAAAGGTGGTGGAAGAAAGTCACTTCATTAAATGAACCATGCTGAAAATCTTTCTTGCACTCTATTTTAAAATGAAGAGACAAGTGTTCTAGCTCATGGCCAAATATTGCCTCTTTTAATGCAAACAGACAGCTCTCAGGATCTTTGATCAAAATACCACAAGTTGACAACTCCAAACGTTTTAGGTTTTTCATTTCGTGTAAAATTTCCCATAGTTGTTTAAACTCGTCATCACCTACATCATCTAGATTCCTATAGATAAGTTGTAGCTCTTGCAAGTTTTGAGCAAAACTGAAAGATTTAAATTGGGCTATCCAACTAATGGATGGTCCCTCATCTATTTGCACTTGAATACCATCAACATGCAAACATTTCAAGTTTTTTGAATGAATCTGAACAGGAAATGACAACTCTGAACCCCTTCTACTATCTTTTATTCCAACTGTATGCAAATTAATACTGAAACAGCAGTTTACAACTTTTACATTTACTAAACAACTTGTATTTAAACTATTAATGAGATTTTGAACAGTTTCCTCCTTCACAATTTCAAAATTCCAACCTTTCAGTGTAAGAGTTTTTAGGCTTACAGTTGTTTTTACAGCAAGAGAAAGTGCGTGTACAACTTGTTCCTTGGCTTTCAGAATGATTGCAGAGCCTAGAAAAAGCTCTTCTAAAGTTATGCACTTAGAATGAAGTCGAAGTGTGTTAAAAAGAGGACAGAGGTAATTAAATTTGATAAGTGAATTATGTAGAATAAGGACACGTAAAGATTTGTTTACTATTAGTGCTGCAGTTAAACATATTATATCCTCCTTTTGTAGGATGTTTTCCGACAGATCAAGCTTCTGGAGAACGCACTGCTTTTTATGAAGAAAACTAAAAAGATTATGGTATTCAGACACATGTGAAGGTGAATCAGAACATCTGATTTCTCTTCTAAAACAAACGGCTCTTTTAAACTTTCTCTTTATGTTTTCTTTGTGCCTCGTATTTCTCACAGTGGACATTGCTAAAGATTTCACTTTTTTTTCTTCCAGGATACTTGCAACCAGTTTCCATTCTTCCAAACTGTATTTCATTCCTTTCAAAGTCAATGATTGTATGTTATTACACTGCTTCAGACTTGAATCAAGGTTGTCTTTATCAACAACCTTTACATCTTTCACATGCTTTGTATGGTTCTCAAGGTGGAGAATCTTTAACGAACAGCATTTACTAAGAAGAGCAAAAACTTCTCTTGATATAGCTTCAAGTCCAGTGTCAAACTTTATTTTCACTTCTTCTAGTTCTTTTCCATCAAGCCCAAAGCAGCAAAATTCTGAAAACCCAGTCTTCAGAATATCCATATTTTCATATATTTCAAAACGTCCAAATGATGTGTACATTTTAAAGTCAACACTTACAATAGATGTATTTTTTTTCAGACCACTAAGAAGCTTATGGTATGCATCTTTTCCTGTGATACTGAAATCAAGCATTGTATCAGAACAAATGACTATTTGTTTCACTCTACAGGTTGGACTAGCCAGAAGCCTGACTATTCCAGGAATGATACTAGCTGTAGAATGCATAGTTATCAAATTGTCCAACACTAAGTTTTCTGGTAAAAAATGTTGAAGTGCGTAAAAGTTTTCATCAGTATCTGTGCATTCAGAAGCAAGCTGACACGCATGCTTAATGATTTCTGTTCGATTTAATGCCCCATATATATCAAAAGGAAGGCAGCTTGTAAATTGATAAGCATTGTCTCTTAACAATCCCACTAAAAACACAAACATCTGAAGAGGAAGTGTTTCTTTCTTCATTGTAACAGTCTTAAAAAAGTTGTTGAGCTCACACTTCCGTTTTTCAGCACTTAAGGAGTTTAAGTAATAGGAAGCTAAAAAATCATAAAATGAAGTATGCATTAATTCTAGTGTCTGTTCTTTACCCTTAGTCTGTGATACTAGGTGAAGAAGACCCATTTCTTTTAGGCAGGCAGCAAACTTTAAGTTACTTACTTTTGATTCTTCTAGTTTATAATTTCCTGTCTTCAAAGCACAAAGACAGAGACTGCCTAATTCCTGCAGCATTTCATGGAAAACTGCTTGTTTTGAATACAAAGTTAAGTAAGAGTTCCTTAGAAGACACCTTTCAAACAGACATTCCAATATTCCCAAGTATACCCCTGTTGTAAAACATGTTCTATTCATATCAACAGAAATACTGAGGGATTGATTCTGTTTCAGTAAGGCACAGAGAAAATGCAACATCATAGGATTCTGAGTCAAAAACTTCAGGCTAACATTATCAGTTGAAAACAATTTCATAAGAAATGAAATGAAATTCTTTTCTTGCTCGGCTCCTTCAAGAGTATCCTCACTGTGAAAAAACTGACTCAGAAATTTATTAACATTTAACTCACTGATGCCCCGAAGTTCACATTTTCTGTCACAGTGTTTGATGATTTCACAGACTGCTACTGGCCTAGATGTGATTACTACCGTGGCTTCAGGAACAGTGACTCCACTAAGAAGACGAGAGATGGTTCCAACTGACTTCTGTTCCTCTGTCATCTCATCATATCCATCAAGTAAGAAGAGAACCTCAGACTGGTGTTGTCTAATATAATCCCATAGCACATCTTTGTGACCATGCCATTTCAGGTCTTGAAGTACTTGCTCAACCACAGTATCATGGAGGTCTAAATTCATGTATCTCAACTTCAGAAGAAACACAAGTTTAAAGTGACACAAATAACCTTCTTTTTCAACAGCCCAGTCATATGCCAATTTTTTCAGTACCGTGCTTTTTCCAAAACCTGGATCTCCTGAAATCAAAATGCGTTTTGGTGGATACAAGTGATTTTTGCGTGGTAGTAATATCTGCTTATAGTATAATGTTTCTGTTTCATCTACACACCAACCCTTGTTTCCAAGAACAGTCTTGTAGATTAATGGATTTATAAACATCTTTTCCAAGTGGTATTCCTCACTAGATGTCCATGGAAGTGGACAAATCCAAGCCTGTGCATTTCTAAAAGATGTACGAAGGTATCCCACTAGATCTTCTAGTAATGCTGGAGGCAGTACTGCAAAAAATTTTTAAAAAGGCACATGATAATTAATTGTACATATTTATATACATTGATTAATGAGAATGACAACTGAAAGCTCTGTTTAACAAATAACATCAAAATAAAAAAACTATGCAAGAAATAAACTTGTCATGTACTTCTGCCTCACAGTTCTCAACAGCAGTGAATAAATCTTCTCGCCTATCTAAATGAATGTAATCAGAAAGTGCACACAAGTTTTTTAAATGTACATTGACAGAAAGTGCAGACTCAAACATGCCACTGTGTGCATGATAATACTTGGTAAGTTAAAATCAAATTGGGAATAGCCCACAGGAATGTTCCTGTTGGCTTTACAGTAAACATCAAGTTCCAATCCTACCAATAATGCATGAAAAACATTCTTGTTACTCAAAATTTTGCTTTCTTTATTTACTAGTGATTACTTGTTGTTGTGATTTCTTACCAAATTCAGTATAATTGTCTGCATAACATTTCTAGAAACCTACTGTATTGTCAGATATCAGTGTATGTGAATACCACACTAGAATCATGTAGTGTCTTGTTGTTGTTGATCTTTTCTAAATAAGGTGTTCAGTAGTTTTCATATAAAATTTTTTTTATGTACTTAACTTTAACTGAAACTATTACATTCATTTCAAAAAATGTGGAAATTTTAGGCAATATATCCATTCAATTGCCTCAAAAACATTTAGCATAGCTCATGGTTTTAATCTCTATTTTGAAATCAGCATGTGTATAGTTTTAAGACCATGTTTTCTTTCTCCCAGGATTTTACTGTACAAGTTTAGGTAAAATTGGACAAATATAAAAGGATAACAGCTTAAAGAACAAGTAATACTTGTGCTGAAAGAAATCACTTGAAAAAGCTGTACTTAGCATGTCTGTTTGAAATAACAAAGCTTTTTGGTTTCAGGGATATTAATTAAGTTGCATACAGTATAAAGTAGTGATTAATGTGACCAGTGAGCAACAAGGTGGTCTTCAAATATGATAAAAACTAATTTAATTAGTCAACAGTCAAAGGCTCCTGGTATTCTGTCACAATACATGATTAAGTAAGAAATAAACAAAACAGTTACCTTTCTTTTAAAGAGATACCGATTTAATTATAGAACATATATAAAGTTTTTGAAACAACTTTTGATGGGATAGTAGATTTATTTGGATACAAAATACTGTCTCTAACAGTGAAACATCAAAACATTTGGAAACATTACAAATCAAGGAATTAAAATCTAACATAAATAAAACATCAGAAGCATTGTAATATTTGTATTAAAGTACCTACATATTAACATATACATGTATGTGTATGTAAATGTGTTTATGAGCAATATATATATATATATATATATATATATATATAA